GCCTCCACACTGATATTTTTGATAAGGTGTAAACATGTGATCATAAGGAAGTAAGCCAGGTCAGAAGGCTTCCAACGTCAAAACTTGTCATAGTGTGTTGTACTGTATATGCCTGCTTGTCAAAAATTCAAAAATTCAACGAAATTCACATAAAGATAGAACTCTATTGAATAAAAGATGATGAAACACACTTGAATCTATGATTGGCCCATCCCATGATGGTTGGAAGTGGCTTTCTGTGGCTTTACGATTGAAAGCTGTTGTTTCTAAGTTCGAAGAAGCAAGAGGCAAACTTTCCATTGAGGCCTTTTGGGCATCTTGTGATGGTGATCGTGTATCTATCAACCGCTTGCTCTCAGACTCTCAAGGAATATTAACAATTTAACAAGAGAGAACGTCTACCTACCTGAAATATCCGAGGATAAAGAGAGTTTTTGTGCCGTGCATGTCGCGCGTGTCCCAAAGCTCTTGACATGTTTTTTGTGATTTGCAGGTCTTCAGAGCGTTCCGTATACTTTAGCATTGGTCTGGGGATGTTGGTAGGTGTTTTTTTCACAGTCGGAACAGTGGCAAGGTATCAGAGCTAACGTTTTCATCTTTCAAGACTTTGCTTTCTTGGGTGATTGGCCTTAATGAATTGATAAATGGTGTCAAAGTGAGATGAAGCGAGAAACTGTTGAATATGAAGATGATTGCGTGAGTTGAACCCTATCTTATATGGATTGAAATGCGCATCTGGACTATTCATCCTCAGAAGAACACACTATTCTGAGGATGCATACATGCTGAACATCAAAGGAGAGTATTGGATCTCAGCCTCTCCGCATCACCCTGACTACATGGAAGCACTTAATCGCAAGAGTGGCTACGTGCTGAGTCTTCAAGGGCAAGTTCGAACTTCGAAGCTTTATATGTCAAGGTCTCTTGAGGCTCGAAGCCCAGACCTCTGACACTCGAGCTTAAGATTCGAAGTTCGAAGAGCTCGAAGAGCTCAGATTCGAAGTTCGAAGAGCTCGAAGAGCTCAGATTCGAAGTTCGAAGAGCTCGCAAGACAGAAAATTTTTCTGCAATTTTTGTGTCGATTCGAGACCAAATCGGTCCTACGCCGATTGCATCGGCTGCTTTTGGAATGCGTCGCTAAGATGCAACCGAAGTTGCCTCGCCAGCGAGATTGAATCGGGCATTCAGGGGATTGAATCGCGATTCAAACACCGACATGAAATCGAAAAAATGATTGAATCGGGACAAAAGGCCCGACATTTAGTTGCTCAGAGGGGATGCGATGCGATGATTGTATCGCACATTTGTTTTAGTCGGATGAGCGCTATACGAGTAGCCATTGGACCTGATCAGACTGAGGTTCAGTCGGCGGCCACCAATGCGGTTTGGGATCGGCGCTCAGTTTCATTGGTTGTGCCAAAGCGATCCTCAATCGGACTGCGGATCCCATCGGACAGTGAAGATGTGATTACACATCGCACAACAATTCTATCGCACAATTTGGCCCCGACCCTGCTTCGGAACACCGTCCACGATGTGACATCGGAAGGGGCATTCCGACGTGAATTTCTTGGCGGTGAAAGTCTTGTATATCAACAAAAAATGTGCTGATAAGATCAACTGGGTCCTCAATGAGATTGAGGATTGCCACGGGTCTGGACATTGTCCAGGGTCAGCACCGGCTCACCGTGGCTGATTTTGGGTCAGGGGAGTCAGTTTTGTCAATTTTGACGATGTGACTTGAGTGGCACTTTAGAGCCACCGTAGACTAGGTGATAACAACTGTACAAACTTCAGAAACCCGTTCACCAAGGAAGTCCTGGCTTCAAAGCCCGTTGTCAAAACTTCTATGTCAGCTACTCAACCTACAGCCCTTTGCAGAATTGATGACTTTGGAAAAAGAGAAAACGTTTGAGTTTTTTTCAAAAACTGAGCAAGTTTTTCAAAAACTGAGCAACCTCTTTCTCTTTTAGAATTACTGAGCCAGGTTTCCAAAAAAACTCACTGACTTTTCGAAAAACTCAGCAGCTTTTTGACAATACTCGGCCACTTTTTGAAAAAACTCGAGGTTTTTTATTTGAAAACTCGAAGTTTTTTTTTCTTCAAAGTCTTCCGTTACGCAAAGGGCTGTACATCTGCCTTCATTTCTACTTCTCTTTCAACTTTACCATCTCAGACAATCAAGAATGAAGAAAAACTATCGAATTTAATGGCTTGATTCAAAGAATTGTTTCACTTTGAGTTCAATCTGTTGCCTTCTTCCTCAATCACCAAGGTTTTTAGCATACTTCGCCTTACCCTTCCTCAGTAACTTGTTCATTATGAAACAGAAAATCAGGTACCAAACTGAAGGTGATATGTGATGACAATCACAACAAGGGTAGAGAATACACTGAATGGAACAGATTTGGATCTAGCTACCCCAGAGTTAAAATCTTTGAAAGGATGGCTCAAGATTTGGGCTTGTGATTGGATTGAAGCGACTAGAAGATATTCAGAAGTCAGTCAAGCTATCAAGGTTTGCTCTCAATTTGTCATATCTTTACCAGTGGATCAGATCAGATCCATATACTTGCATCCTTTTATGTATCATCCAGTTGATCAAACTGAAGCTTGATTGCAATCTTTATTACTGTAGAGCAAAGTTAAATACATATTCACTATTGCTTTGGATCACAAAAAAACCTTTCTCTTACAAATTGTGTAGTTTTTGTTATATGAATGTATCCAGCCCAGGATATCACTGATGAAAAAGGGTTTTTTTAATCCGATGAATCACACATACAAAATTTGAAATTGCATTTTTACATCTGAGAGTGAAGTAGCTCTTATGAGTTGCTCACTGTTCAAATACAATCTTGAGAGTACAATTCAATATGCAAAGAACTTGAATATTTTGAGTCTTCTGAGAAACACAAGGTGAACTAACAAAGTGTTGATATATCACAATGTGTGCTCTAAGACAAGGAATAGAAAAACAAAATATCAAAGGTTGAATAAGAAAGATGAAAGACTCAATGAGAGAAAGAAAGAAAGCAAGGAAAAATTGACAAAGCACATGATTTGGCGTCCAACTTGGGTGAGAAATGGAGCTCAAGCTTTGGCATCAAGGGCTGAAGCTGGCTTTAGGCGAGCGATGCGACTGAACCTCGGGCCGCGTCATCAGCCCTTTCCACGCTTTTCCTACGAGATTGAAAAGCACGGATATGAAAAATACAAATTCGAAAATAACAAGTGGGACTTTCATTTTCGAAAGAGCTGCAACAATTGCCTTTCTCTTGTAAAAGAATTTGTTTTCTCGTGCGAACAAAATTGCAAAGAGGTCAACCCAGGTCATCTATATGTAATGACTTCAGAAGGTCATGGAGTTGCATTTTAAATTCTGAGAAAGATGTGCCCATACATTCATAACTTATTTTCCCAAACTTCAATATATTTCGCCGTTCCATGTCTCAAATTATCGAAAGCCGAGTGCTTAACTTCGTCATTCACTTATCCCCGAACCTCAACCCTTATCAGGCAACAGCTGATTATATCGAAGCCTTTCTTCTAGTGCGTCTTGATACGCAAGCGCGATTTCTTGTTGAGAATCCAAGGTCCGGCATAACAACTTCAGCTGATCTGACCTTCCTCTCTGTATCTCTCTCTCTGTATCCAAAGCCATGTCCTCTGCCGTCTTGGTCCCGTTACGCTCAAGGCTTTCTCGTAGTGGAGTTGATAATGTGAGAATATCTTGTTTCTAATCAGCATAACTGAGACAAGACAGGCGTTGAGACTCTAGTTGACAGTATAATTGTCATTGGACGAATTTGCCGTTCAGAATGTTCCTTCAATCAACCTACATTATCTATCTTCGCTCCAAGACGAAGAAAATGTATAATATTGGTTTGAATGCAGGTGAGTGGGGCGCAACTCGTGATCTATCTAAGCTTTTCATGAATGCTCATCTACTTCTTGATCAGTGGGACTCATACAACTTGATCGTGTGAACCACTGTGGATTGTGTTACTTGCTATATAGTATAAGTACGCTTGCCTCGTCCGAGTTTTGTCGACCGTAAGAGCACCCACTATGGGTGCGGTTACGAGGTGATTTAGCGTTACCTTAACGCTAAAATTCAGACAGGTCCACTATGGACCTGTTTTACGCTTGCGGTCCGTACCGCTGCGTTAAATCTTGCACCCCGCGTGCTCAGATCTACGCAACCCTACGACATGATTTATTGTAGGATAATCGGTCAACAACTGTAGTTTTCAAAACCCCAAACTACAAAACATCACAATTCATTCCTTCAAACCTCATCCTCAAACTTCAACACCTGAACTTCAAAGTTCGAATTTTAAAACTCATTCGAAATCGACGTTCAAATTTCGATTCGTATCTGGCATTTGGTGCGAAGTAGTCATTGTAAAGTTGCTGACCGCGAGCAACACGGTCTCCATCTATACGTATACGAGTATGAGGAAGGGGTGGCGGTGGTGGGAGCTCATTGAAGAGGCCGTCAAAGACCAACTGGTCATAGTCCTGCTGCTCGTCATCGTCGTTTGAAGACCTCAAAAGACGTTCGATTTCTTTTTCAAGGAGCTCGGAGCAGGCATTTGGTGATCTTTTTTGGATGAAATTTATGAAAGATAAGTTATTTCATTTCAAAATTAGACCACTGTGGATCGACCAGATCCACAGTGATTTATCTTTGGTAAAGCAGACGTTACATCATCCCATAGTGGAATTCATGCGTTTAACAATTGAGTTGTTACACGCAAAATCTACGATAAATCACGCCCACCATAGTGGGTGCTCTAAGGGGTTGATCTCACGTAACGGTATACTTTTCTTCACTAGTTGCGGTGGCCAAAATCATATGTTACGAATTCGCACAATCTGGTCGATTAGAACAGGGATGGCCAAATTTCTTACTCGACGTTAAGTTTTCCGTTACGATGGCATGTGCTAGGCGAGCTTTCATCACTTATTAATTAATTTCCTCTCAAAGTGCTGATATGATTAATCTTTCTTCAGCGGTAAGCAATTTGACTTGGTTTTTATCCTTGATCATTAGTTCATATGTTGAAAAAATCTCTTGCCCCACATCAACACACCCTGACTTAGTGATCTTATGGCTGTGCATCTGTCATTTTGTCTTTGTCAAACAGAGAGCTGTCTCACACAATATAATCCCAAAGGGACAATTGCTCTCAACCACTGCAACATGGGCACTGAATATATTTTTGGTGATAATCATCTTTGTACCAAGTGGTCAGCTTATTGTTTCAATGCTACTTCACATGATTTGCACTCCCTGAAATCATCTTCAAATCTTAGTAGTCATTGTCACCAATTGCTCCCAACTTACCTATGAATATAGTTGTACAAGACAAATAGTGATGCCTGTCATCCAACATCTACGGGATTTGGCGCCTACTTGCACCTCAGGAACGTGTAGCGTCGTGACTTATGTGACATCCCAAGTCTTTGTACTCACAAGCGCCTTGCATCATATTGTCAGTCTCACTTGAAAATATTAAAATTAGCTCGGCTGTAATTCTAACCTCGTTTCTTTGCTTAGGATCGTGTGGTCCATCACACTACGGTCAGTTTATATTTTTATGTGTTCTGTGATGCATGGAGTTTTTTGGTAAGTTCTCAATTCATATAAAAGAGATCCTAGTCTGAATCCTATATATCAATTCCTATCAGATTTATGTCCCATTTGTATATCTATTATTTCAAAGCTTCAAGACTCAAAGAGGATTGGATTATTCAACAAAGCGACAAACAGATGGTGTCTTTTCAAACACTGTGATAGAATTGGCAATTGTATTCTTACGTGTTGTTTTAGGTGTCTGTTCAGTACGTGTTCAGCTTTAGCCTTGGTTTTCATGATCCAATTCAAAGATACTTGATCCCTTGATTGAATCTACTTCATGTTCTTCAATTTCTTTCTCAAGGCTCGTTTACTTCGCAATGGTGAATTCATCATGAACGCAAACTTTTGGCTTATCCTCCGCATTGTAAGCCTTATTTTGTTTTTGCTGAAATTTACCTTGGTTCCCATAGCTCATACCCTTTTAACAATCTCGCAGGGTATAAGTAGTGTCATTTCAACCTTGGGAAACATGTAAGCACATCAATTTAGTTGTGATCATATGTGACAAAACTAAAATGACCATTTTCCAAAGCACCTTGTTCTTCATCTTAGACAATCTCAGGAGGTCTGATACCACTGAACCTGCGACTCAAATCTCACTCCCAAGGTTGACAACAGTCTTGTGTACCCATAAATTGGATCAAAATTCTTCAGTATGATTTTCACATTCATAGACTTTGACTTCGATTGTGACTTTAGTATTCTCTTCCTCGATCAGATCTTATATTTTTCACAGCTCTGAAATCATAATCTATCTCAATATCTACCTTTCATTACAATCAACTTGTATCATTCCTTGAAGCTTCAGGACACTTTCAAGATGTGTTATTGGAGTTTTTGTATCATCACTCTTATTTCCCTTTACCAATCACAAAGTTAAATATGTATGAAACCCATATATGGACACCATTTATTCAATTTAATATCTATTGACAGGACTTTCACTGTGGTTGTGTTCATGTCTGCTTGTAATATGATCAATTTATGTCAGAATGTCACAAGTGCTAAAGATTAAGAAGTACAAGGATTCCATTAACAAGACTACAGGAAACTAACCTGCGAGCTTGAAATCAAAGAAGAGCGCGTAAGGAAAGATGAACAGGAAATAATAAAAAGTTATGATTCTTTTCGACACCACACACCTGAGGGCACAGGTTCCGAGTCAGACTAAAGCGTATCTGCTAGTCAACGACGAGAACAGGAAACCTAACAGACCACAAACAAAAGAACAACGTGAAAAGTAAAGCTTATCAGATCAAAAGAAACAGATTGGAATCTAGGAGATGGACTTCTATCTACCTGTGAGCTCGAAATAAAAGCAGAGCGCATAAGGAAAGATGTACAGGAAATAATAAAAAGTTAGTAAGATGACAGTATTGATATCAGTTAACAGTATGATCAAAATCTGAATTGAAAGATGAAAAACTCACTGATTCTTTTCGACACAAAAAGAATCAGAAAAGAGGAAAGAGAGAATTACCAATAGAGAAGGAAACCCCCAAAGAAATCCAGCCGCATCCCTTGATTCAACTTCCATGCATTAGCCCCTTTGTTAACCATCAGATTTGCTGCTAAGTCTTGCATCACATACAACCACTACAGAACCATTTACCACCTCCATCCTTATCCATCACACTTACCAAAACAGGAAATGATCTTTGACCACACTCATCAAGATAGGATAGTATCTTAACATAACCAACCTTAAATACATATTTGTTGCTGATGAGGTGGAAGATGGATTGTTTTAAGGTCTATTCTTAATTGGAGTTGATTCATAAAACAACTTGAAATGGATTTTATAAGAAAATAACCACGTGGAAAGCCCCACTTTCTCACTATGAGGCGTACAGGCCTTTGGGCGCGCCCACCTTGTTTCTGAGATGTTTAGGCGCGCCTTGCGCCCAGGCGCGTTATTTTTTTTGCGCCCCCATCCTGACAACTTTGACAGTGCCACATCCTTGTCGTGGCAGTTGAACACTTCCATGTATGCGTCCTGAAATCCAACTTTTTGAGCAAAAGATAAATCTACCACTTGTTCTACCATCATACCTTTGCTCTTCTCAGACGTATTTGTTTTTTGAATCTGCTGAATTAAATTTTTGAAATGAACCTTGTACATAATGTTCAGCAGTGAGCCCATGAAGCCAAGAGAATAAGACCGGAACCCAGCGCTTGATGGTTTCACAGTATTTGGAAGTAGTTAATAGATAACATATTTTGAAAAATCTATATGTAATGTCGGAGAGAAGGCCACCGGTATAAGTGTCTGTTTTTTCATTGGGTTCCACTAACACTTCCGCCATCCAACCTGTTTGAAAGGTTATGTGTGCATCCGGGCCGGCCACAGATGACAAAACCACCTCGAGGCCTTTCCTGTTTCAAAAATATTGTTATGAGTTCGTGTTCATTTTTATTTGGAGTAGGTGACATTATGATGTAACTAATCATACCTTTCCCAATCCATAAATGTACATAGCCATTCATTGCCAGCTTCAGGATTGCGGGTGTTAGTCATTATACCGGCCTCAACAAGATATAATCTTTGCAGATACCCTAGACAATCCGTGTTTCCAAATGAGGAATGAATATTGGTGACTGAATGAACTGGGTCATTGCCCACATGCGCCAGTCCAACCTAAATGATTGGTAGGATGAGACCCGGTCAGTATCAGATTACATGGATTGAAAGAAAGGGTCTTCACTGACATTCAGGCCTAAAGGTCCGGTCTTGGTGTCATTGATGACCCTATCTTTCACTTTGACTTTTGAAATAGGATCCGCCTTTTTGGACTCAGGCCACTCATGTTGGTGAGTCCCTTGATGACGCAGTAGGCCCCACTGTTTGTTTCCTTCCACATCCAACTCGGTATCAACTCAGCATTTAGCGTTGCATTTGATGTGTACTTGGTAGCCATTGCAAGCAGAGATTGGACAGCTTTTGCTGATGAATCTTTGTTGATAGAAAGAAATAAAATAAAAGAAAAAAACAAAAAAAAGTTGAGAATCAAAGCTGAAATATTAAGAAACAAAGCAGATGTCCATGTGGCCATACTGACCCTTCTTCCCCTTTGGTGATCTTTCTGGCTCCAGTTGGAGGGGAGCCTGCCAAAGGACAGTTTGCCTCGGAACATTTAATGACCCCCAAGCAGTAGTACCAACGAGTAATTCAAGTTTTCTTCTTGGTAGTTTCCAACTTCATGGTGTGAGTCCATGCAATAAAACGGAAATTTGACGCCGGAAAATCGGGGTCATTGACGTAAACTGTTTCTCCATTGGGATAGACAGGATACTCTTCTTTGTTGAGTTCGCATCCGTGGTCAATAAAGGTTTTATAGATGGATTTATCAGTCGGTAGATGAAGATTAATACGGTGTGGTTTGACGCTGTTTTCCGTTATATCAGCTGGAAAACTTTGGCTTGCAATGGGAGAGGAAGCAATCTCAATCATGTCGAACTGAGGTAATAACAGAGATGGTGATATAGAGGATGATATACTTGATTGAGACAACAAAGATGAGGTACTATATGTGGATTCAACTTCACAATCTGAGCTTGAAGATGTAAAAACAAAAGAACTTGAATCAAACTGATTATTGAGGGATATAATTCCTCCCTCATAACCAGTCTCTTCTTTGCGGAAATCATAGCGCAAGGTGGACATTGGTTCTTCTCAAGATGGAGACACATTGCGTTCATTGGTAATGTAATGCCACCATCATAGCGTGATGTGGCGTGTCCCATGGTTGACTTAAAATGAATGATCAGGACGCCTCATGAGAGCGCAAAAGAGTCAAAAGAGATGAAAGAGTCAAAAAAGGGAAAATGGAGATGGGGGAGAGACAGTGTAGAAGAAATATATGAGGAAGTTGGAATCCCTCTTTGGTAAATATGGTGGGAAATATGGCAAAATATATGGTGAAGTTGTTCAATATCGAAACAACTTCACACTGCCATCATCCACCCTCCGGTATCACGGATATGTGGGTAAATTGAGGTAATCTTGATATCCTGCCTTGATTTCGGTTAGTCCATATTTGGTTCCATGTTGCTTATGCAAGGGTTTGTTTGATTGATATATATGTTTGTTCTTCATGGGAATGTACGTCCATGGTTTGGTTTGAAGGGTGTGGTACGTGTCCGGTGTACGGTATGGTGATGGAAGCTGTGTAAATTTACTGATCAAGATTGACTTTTGGAAATTCACACCGTGCGCTTTTGCACCGGGAGGGGTCTGTGTCACCCGTCCCGGTGCAAAATTCAAAGCCCTGCGGGGGTCCCGTAATTGTACACTTTAACTTATTACACAGTGTATTTCTGTGTAAACGTCAGTGTAAAATTACATGTCACTTCCGGGTACCCCACTTTTGCACTGACTTTTTTACACAGTGCTACTTTACACAGACCAAAAAAAATGAAAATTGTGTAAAATTTGAAAACACAGCCCTGTTTTCAAATTTTACACAGAAACCTTACACCGCCCGACCCGGTGTAAAATTCTCCTACCCCATTCTTTATACTGAAAAAAGATTCTATACAACACAAATGCTACTTCTCAATATGACGTTTATTCAAATTCTCGTCTTGATTCAGTATTCCCGTACTTACTTAAGTTCCAGTGCTCTGAGGACATGGCACAGCCATTTTTGTAAAGCTTGTCACTCCAACTGTCATTTATAAATTGAAGAATTGAGTGATCAAAACCTGATGAACATTTCAGATGTCCAATGGCTTTTAAGATTACCAGCACATCTCATGATTCTACCTAGCACTTTCAGACCTTTTCATGTAAAAAGTCAGGTTAAAACCACTTGATTGTTGGCTAGCAAACTTTGAAAGAATGGCTGCCCTTTTGTAAATAAACAATGTGACACCAGACGCACTCCAATTTGAATTGTAAAACTTGTAATGATCTCCACATATTTTTTTCAATCAAAGATAGTTGAAGAGAAATTTAAATCAAGATTTGTGATATATTGATTTCATACAAATGCACAAATTTTCAAAAAGACACAACTCATCAACTTATAACAGAATGGGTTTTGCAAGTCAAACTTTTTGAATGAGAGTTTGAGTGAAAGAGAATTGAAACAAGAAGATTCTAATGGTTTATATGATGATCAAATGAGAGAAAAAGTAAAGTTGAAATCTATTTACTATCTATTTAAGCATAAAAAAGCATGGAAATCGTACAGGTAATTTCTCTTGTTGGTTCTTTTCAACAAAGTTTCACCTTCAAGACGATCTTTAAAGAAAGAAGGAATGAAAGAAATCAATGGTAAGGTGAGAAAGTAGGTCTGATTTTGTTTTTCGTTTCATCATCTTTAATTTGTAAATTGCTGGTTTGTTGTTCTAATTTCATTTCAGAGATTAATGAAATTAATTCAAGAATTGCTTCTTCTTTAATTTGAATATGAATAATCATTCTTGATCCACCTAATCTAATCTTCTTAGATTGAGCACGTAAGATAAGTTGATTTAAATCGATACCTTTATATAAACCAAAAACAAATCAATAAATTAGAGACACGATTTTAAGAAAAACAAGAAATACGGATCAAAGTCTAGGATTGACTAATGATTTAACTTACCTATAGATGATGGATCAATAAAAACATGATTAGTTTCTACTGGAACTGGAATCTTGACACCTAATTTGATTAATTCATTTGATAAGAATTGAGCTAATTCATGAGTTTTGGATAAAGTTGGAAAATTGTTGATTATACAATAATCTGCTGCTGATACAATCGAACCACACTACGAACAAAACTCAAGAGACTTAGGATTTGAATGCTAAGAGATCGATCAGAAAGATAATTCGAATTTACTTGTCTAATCCCACCTCCAAACATTTTTCTAAACCATTTTGCTTTATTTATAAATGCACGTGGTCCTACCAGAACACTGTTGGTTAAAACAAATCACAGAGTTAGTAGAAAGTAGAGAAATATAGAAAAATAAAACTTATTGACCTTCCAATAGGAGCACCAAGACCTTTACTTAAACACAAACTCATCGAATCAAATGGTTCACAAAGCTCTCCAATCGATTTCCCTGTCTATTGATATTCAAAAAAGAAATCATTTAGAAATATTTCTTGAATTGGATCGATTTTTTCTCTGTCGACATTGTTTTTTTTTCTGACTTACTTTAGCAGATACTTCCCAAATCCTTGCACCATCACAATGTAAAATTAATCCTAATTCATGTACATAATTTGAAATCTTGATGATTTCTTCTTGTGGTTGAATCAAACCTCTAATCGTATTTTCTAAGCAAACCAACTTAGTTGGAGCGAAATGAATATCATCACCTGTTTTTAAGAAACAAAAGAAAAACTCTCAGAATCGGAAGCTTAGTTTTGAATCAAGTCAAGCAGCTTACTTAGGACCAACATTGGTTTGATATCTTCTAATGTGATTGTATGACCATTTGAGGGTGCGACTGGGATGGTTGTGGCTTGTGAGTGAAAAGCTATACCTCCTGCTTCGTAGTTATGAATATGCGCTCTAGCATCACATAGTACAGAATGCTACATATATGGAAAGGTTCATACAAATCAGCTTAGGATTATATATGAAGAGAGATTGATGGTTTTAGAGGATCATGAGAATCAATCGGTTCACTTACAGGTGGCTGAGTCAACCAAGTTCGTATGGCTAATTGATTAGTCTGAGTTCGATTTCGAAAAGTTTGAATTCATAAAATCGATTTCAGTCACTCTTGTCTAATTCGATGTATGTTTTGACCGAATTTTTGTTTTTTTTTACAGACGGAAGTGTATGTACTGTGTGATAAATTAAACTTACCATAGTACCACTAACACAAAACAAAGCGGCTTCTTTACCAGTCAATTGAGCCATTTTCTCTTGAAATTCAGTGGTCACTCGATCTTCCTACAAAAAATCAAGATTTCGTCAGGTTTTCCAGAAACATTCATTCTTCTGAATATTGATAGAAATTCAATGAAATTGATCTAGGACTTACTCCATAAACATCATCACCAATTGAAGCATCTTTCATAAACTCAAACATATCTTCTGTAGGAGCAGTCATAGTATCACCTACATGAAGACAAAAAAAACGGACATATGTAAAAATAAGTCAAAGGTGAGAATGTTTTTCCCCCATCATTTCATTGAAGGAAATCTTTAGTAAAAAAAGAATGATCAGAAAAAGAAAAAGATCACAAACTACGAAAGTCACGAGAGATTAAAAATCTTTTTTCTTCATTTGATTCAGGTTCGAATAAACCAGTTTGAGTAGGTGGAAGTGATGAAACTAATTTCTTGGTTGAATGTTTTCCATTGGTTAAAGTTGGTGTTGTTTGATTTTGAGTCATGATGTGAGTGTTGTTTTTTTTTGCGTTGGTTGTAAAAAAGTCACAAAAGGATATTTTTCTTCTTGCGATTGAATACGAATAGAGTTTAAGATTTGGGAGACAAAATGATGCTTTTTGAGGGTCGGATTTAGTGCGGGTGTGAGTGAGTTATAAAGCTCGGTGGTGATACGAAGTAGTAATGATGGATTTGAAATGACTGATTGAAATTTGACAAAGAAAGATAGGATAGTTTTTGTATCTCTAAGCCTAGAATGAAGTGCGATAGAATGGAAGATGATAAACTATTGCTGCTAAAGATTGAATGATGAGAACTTATATATGCGATAATCTCGAAAACCTAAAATACTTATACTCGAAGAGATAATCTTGTGTAATCTGCTTTGAAAGAGTTGAAAGTGGATCAAGGTGTGCGAGGAAAAAGATGAAGCAGAGAGACGAAGAATGTTAAAGAGTAAGATGCAATGATTGGTTGATAGATGGATAAGACTCAAGAGGAGATAAAAAGTTGAAGTTGAGATATTTCTCAAATGGATGAATCGCGGTGGTACAAAAAAACTTCTTAAATCGGTGTCCCGTCAAACGGTAAGCCGAACCTGCCTTTTTCGACTCCTTGAACTCCTATAAACCCATAATCGATTCTTTTACACACCTCATCCGAGCATCTGACATTTGTTTCATCAGCTGACGAGACCTGACGTTTTACAATCTTTGATCTGGTGACTTTGAAGGATGAGATTGTTTGTCGATCGAAGATGATATCTAGTTCAAAAGATCATCGTGGGGTCACAAAATCTCGCAATCAGTACTCCACTTTTCAGGAACTTAGATCAAATCGTACACTCAGACCACAAACTTACATCACAAAGTCCTGTCGTACCTTGCAGGCAGGTTTGAGACACGGCTCTGAAGATGGGGCTTGGGTAAGTTCTAGAAGGCAACTTCTAAAAGAAAAAAATGACTTTCAAGTTTTGGAGATGGTATCAAAATTACTTCAAATCAAGAAGTTTGATGAAAAAGAACGATCAAAAGATTAATCAATCAAATAGGAGTGACGTTCTATGGCTACATTTCAACTTCAATCATTAGAATGGTATCATAATAATATCAATATCGACAAAATAAGCAAGTCAAACAATGAGATGACGCCTAAAGAGTCATAAATTAAAATCAGATGAGAGAAATTCGAAAGCCGTCTGACCAAAAAAATAGATCAACCAATCCCCAATTTGAAAGACGAAGAAGAAGACTAAAGAGATTGAAATGCAACTGAGAAAGACGAATATCCAACAAAGATTATACAACGCTGATATTGCAGAGTTGAGTTTAGCCGTTGAACAACTGCCTAGTAAGGAAATTATTCTCTTGGAAAAAAACACAAAATTAAATGAGAATGGAAGGAAAAAAGAAATTCGAAAACACAACAAGATACATCATTATTCTTGTAGAAAAGCACCCAAAGAAAGAAAATGAGACTCGAAAGAAATGAATGATTAGATTGTTATGCAAAATGGAATAAAGGATTGATGTCAAACAGGATTAAAACAGGGTGAGGTATAATTTGAGTTCTTTCTTGAAGCAAGTTGATCCCCTTGAACTAAGACAAATCGTGAGATGAATCATCAATGGGCATAACTTATGCAAAAAATTGAGATAGACATGAAGAGATGGTAATAGAATAGTATTGAAATGAATAGAGAATCTTCGAAATTCTAGAATATGAAGTTGTCTTTGAGGATAATCAAGTTTAAAGTTGAAGATCACATCTCGAGCTGAGATCGCCAAGAAGCAAACTTGTCGCCAAAGATGATGATTGTTTCATTGAATTTGAGTTCAAAATGTTACTATGGGAGTCTTCCCTTGGGATTTGATCTTATAAGAATTACTCGGAACTATGTGAAAGATGCTCGGTTTACTTCTAGGAGATAGTTGAAGTTCTAAATCCCTGATAACGGAGCTTTCTCGACCTTGAACATATCTCTCTGAAGGATTTGGCCATCTAATCAAAGATGTTGTAGAATATTTTATACTTTCATCTAGGGTGTTATGAAAGACTTTGGGTTTGGTTTCACTCCTTGTTCTTGTACGTGTTGGATTTAATTGATAATGATGATTTGATTTTAATGGAAAGCTTTCGACTTGATTTTCTCTAGAAATTCGAGTTGGATTAGATGGAATTGAAATCTCAGATTGATTATCTGAATTTGTTCTACTTCTATAATCTTTGTAATATAAATTTGAATCTTCATCACTTTGAATCGAATCATGACGATCAAATGAATTGAAATCAAAACTTGATATAATTTGAGATCTTGATTGATGTCGAACTTCAAACCAACTTGAAGTAGTAGATAATCTGAATTGTCTTAGTCCATTTCCTAAAGCCCAAATTGATTTAGATCTTAAATTCTCTTTTTTGATTCCTAAATACATTCTACTGAATAAAACTTGAGTCAAGATTAAAGGTGGTATAAAGTTCATTAGTTTGTATTCGAATGATGAAGGTTGTAGGAACATAATTAAACTGATGATGTATAGAATTGATGTGGTGATAGTAAAGACCAAGTGATGGTAGGAGAGTGGTTTGTCGACGCTTCCTATGAGAATCCCATCAGTAGCTTTACCATGAGACCTCGTACTGTAGGAAGTGATGAGGAAGAATATTCTATATTTCCAATCAAAATGACAAAAGATATCTTAGAAATTGAACTACATCGTCAAAGATTGAGGACAAAAGACACTCACATGTGAAGCAATATTGGACTTATGAATGATACAATGATTAGGATGGAAGTAGGCTTATGAAGGACAACTTCATTGGATGTGGTATAAGAGAGGAGGGCATTTTTATATTCCGTTCGAATCTCAACAAAGCATAATATCTATGCAAAACAGAAGCATCAGTTTGACTGCTGTTGTAAAAGTAAAAGTGAGAATCGGACTAACTTGAATTGCCAGATTGATGGCGGCGAAGAAAATGGATGTGTAAGGGATGATGGGTGTATTGGGATATAAAGTATTGATCCTAAATCAAAGAACACCCACATTAACCAATGCAATGGATTCAACCAGATAGGTAAAACTTACTGAACCACCAAGACTGAATGAACCCCAAGTAAACCAATTCCAAACAAAAGTGGAGTGAAGATTAACATTCCACTTGATAAGATCAAAGTATCAATCGTGAATGAATTGATCCAAAATCCAAGTCCAAAGAAACCAATCAAGAGAGTAAAATAACGATTCCAAAGGTAAATTATCTTTGCAAATGTATTTGATACTCTCCAAACTAGATTTGTTTCGAGAAAAAAAGAAGAAGCAAAATCCCAAAATAATATCATTACACTGTGTAGATCATACCATCAAATGGAAAAAAATATCAATACAAGTTTGTTGGGGTTGAATTTGATCTTCATCATGATCATTGGTCTGTTTTTTAAGAGAGAAATCTTTTGACTTACCAACCGAAGAAATAACCATTTGAGATCTGTAAAAATGTGATTGAGATTGATTGCTTTGAATCCGATGAAGGATTTAGGAATTGATTGTCAATCATCTTTAATTCCTGAAAGCTGTCTTGTTTGAATCAACTAAATGAATTCAAAATATTGTGGATGAGATTCGAAAATGATGATGAAAAACCAGCATGTAGAGCTTCTTTTAAAGAAATCTCTAATGAGTATGATGCTGAAGAAAAGATTCTTTAAACAAAACTCAAACTTATCACGACATTCTTGAAGGAGAAAACGAATGACTGGAAATCAAATGCATGAAGGAATGAATGATTGCGGAAGGGTTTAAAATTTAATCAAACTCAGCTTTGATGATGTGATGATCGAAAACTAAAACCCAAAATGAACTCTTAAACCAACTCAATTCATCTTCACTACATTCAATGTGGATTAGTGAAATTCAAATTAATCGATTCCATCATCATGACTCTCTTCTCAAGCGGTCAAGCATCCTCCACGCTTCATCTGGGATCTTGATGGGTTCAAGATCGATTGTTTTCTTTATTGCTGATATCAGACCATAATGATAGCTAATCTTACCGCGCTTCAGCAATTTTACTTGACGTTATTGGCACATAATGTGTCAGTAAAAATTGAAATCAAGACATGAGAATCGATCAGATCGCGCACATTAATTACTTACCGATTCAGTCACCATCATTGGTATTTCGTTTCTAATTAAAAGAACGATCATGAAAATCCCAAAGTTCAAATTCAATCACGGGATGACTCGGACCAGTTGAAGTGAACATACACCACGGGGCGGCTGGCACATTTTTTTTTTTTTTATTTCATTGTTTTAAGTGTTTTTGTAGCCGCTAGGCTATCAAACACTCTTATATGTCCAGCACCGGTAAAACCCCTCTGGCTGTGTCAGGGGAAAGGGTTGCTGTTGGCTGTTTCATCTATTTTACATGTTTGATAATAAAATTGTGGAGCAGGGCGATGAAGTATGTGGTGAAAAGAGTCTTAAATTGAGAGAAAATACTATTCTTGTGGTTGTGTTTTGTTGGATGGGAGTGGTTGGTCCGTAGCTTTCGCCCAGACCCATCTGTTTGCAAATCTCCATGTGGAGTTGCAATAGTTGGCGACGAGTTTGAAACATTTTGGGTTTGAGAGGATGCGCTTGTCCAGTTTCCCGGAGAATTCGAGTAAGTTGTGTTCGAGTTGGTTTCGGTGCTGTTCGTAATTCTGGCAAATGAAGAGAAAATGTTCAACATTTTCAATGCCCTCCTGGCATGTACATACCGGGTCAATTGGTTGGGTGAATCTATTTAGGTACGCGTTGAGAGGTGCATGACCTGAGCGTAACTGAGTGAGTGTTGCAACTTCATGCTTCAATAATTTCGAGAGTCCGTCTAGGTGTTGTTTGGGCTGTGGTTTGTGTCCTAATCTGGTTGATTCCTTCTCGTCGAAAGTTTCTGTCTGCTCAGTTCTCCATTCCTTGATGGCAGCTAAAAAGGCTGCAGTGTTCGGAGTGTTAGTGAAGGTACTTGGTAGGGAACGTTTAGCTAATGAGTTCGCAATCTTATCTGCCTCCTCATTTCCTGGGATCCCTTTGTGGCCAGGGCACCACCTCACGGTGATGCGCATATCTGGAAATCCCTGATGCAGGCATCGTAGGATCTTAAAGGTGGTCTGTCGGTTGTCCAGCGAAGAAATCGATGACGAGTTTGAATGTAAGTCCTTGATAACGCCTTGGTTGTCGAGTACTATGGTGGTGCGGCGTGTTGAGTGAGTTGCCATCTCGAGGGCCATTTGGAGGCCTAGTTGTACCCCTCGGTACTCGGCTTGATATATGCCGTGGGATCGTGCTGGGCCTAAGTGTTCGGATTTGGAAGTTCTGCTGTTTGCGCACCATGCCGCTGCTGCCGTAGTCTTCTTCGGTATTCGAGAGCCGTCTGAAAAAATCAGTAGATGTTGGGCTGAGGGTTTTAGTTGTAAAGTGTTGGCTTTTGCTACGTTCTCGTCCTCTTGCAGGACAGTGGAGTAGTTCAATGGTCGTATGAGGGTTGAGGCTGGGTCGACCGGGAGTTGTGTTACGAATTCTTCAAATTTCTCGTGTAGAGGATGCTGAAAGAAAAGATGGAATGGATTGCGGTGACTTTTTGGGTTCGTGACTTGTGCTTGTTGGATGAGCTGGAAAAAGGGGTGAGTCCTGGACTTAGCTAGGGATCTTGCCATGAAGCTCAGACTCTTGCCTTGGAGACGAGCTTTGGCCGGGGTGATGTTGAGGTCGTGGCGCAGGAAAGTTGCGGGGGTGGTGCTGAGAGCACCCAGTGCGGCTCTTGCGCATATGTTGTCGATAATCGTGAGCTGGTCTGTGAAGAATTTTGATGGCTCCGTTGGGAGCCAGGCCATCGCGCCGTAGTCGGTGGCCGCGTGTATGGTGGTCGTCATGAGTATCCTGAAGAGGTGGGGTGGGATTCCCCATCCTGTCTTCGACAGGCCGGCAAGGAATCCCGCGCGTTGACGTCCTTTTGCTATTACGTCAAGGCGTTGCTGTTTGAAACTTAGCTTGTCGTCAATCTTGACACCAAGCCACTTTGCGAAAGATGAAGGCTGGATCTGCTTCCTATCCGCAAAGTCTATCGTGGGGATGATTTTGTGTGATTGGAGGCTGAAGAGCACCCAAAAGGTTTTCTTTGTGTCGAAGATTGCACCGTGGTCGCGAGCCCATTGCTGTTGTCGATATGATAGCGTTCTCATTTGGGAGCTGAGCTGGTGTGTGTCGTTGGCTGATGACAGAAGGACCACATCGTCTATAAAGCCCAAGGCCGACGCTGTAGGAATATTGTCAGTTATCTCCAAGAGGGAAGAGTTGTATAAGAGATAAAGTAGAGGTGATAGAGGCGAGCCTTGCGGCAGGCCATACTCAAGTGGGAAAGGGTCGGATTCGAATCCATTGAAGGTAAGGGTTGTTGTTCGTGCCGTGAGAAAGTCTTGTATGACATTAAGCGTTTGAGTATTGATACCTTTCCTTTCGAGGGTATCGAGGAGTCGTGGGTGGTGTACTGAGGGAAAGGCCGACTTGACGTCTGCGAACAGAGCGCCAACTACCTTTCCTCTGGACCATTCTCGTTTGATCCAGGAGACCAGGTGGACCAGAGCTTCTTGACTGGATCTTTCTGGTCTCCCTCCGTAGTGTCCATCGTGGATGAGTTTGAGTTTTTCAGCATGTCCTGATAAGTGAACTGTCAGCAATTTTTCGTATATTTTGCTGAGCGTTACCAGTAGCGCAATTGGACGATAAGCGGACGCCTTGGTGTAATCAGGCTTCCCCGGTTTTGGTATCATCACTGTGACCGCCTTTTTCCAGGCTCGTGGGATAAGGCCGGTTATAGTGATGCATTGGAATAGGAACTTTACGTGTGTTTTTACAGTATCCCAGATGAGTTTCCAGACCCAGTTCTGGATCCCATCGCCTCCTGGGGCTTTTTTCGGTGGGCTGTTGTTGACGATGGCGGTTAGTGATTCGGTGGTGATGACAGAAAGGAGCGTAGGTGTTCTTTCCTGTGAAGGGCGGTCGGTGATTGGGAAGATCAGGTGGTTAGTGCTGTCTAAGCGACACGGTGCAGTCGCCACGCATGTAGCTGCAAACAGCGCTTCGGCCTTTTCTTCATTAGTTGAACAGGTTAGTCCCTCATCTGTGATGATGGTGCTCACCAGCGACGAGGCTTTCCTGCCTGACGCTATTTGCTTAGCTTGAAACAGATTGGTGTGGTCCACACTTGAGAGAAATTGTCTCCAAGAAGACTCTTTTGCCTTGTCGATCGCTCGGTTGAAAGCGTTGCGAGCTTTCTTATAAGCCTGGTGTGATTCGGTTGAGCGGTCCTTTTTCGCCGCTCGTCGAAGCCTAACGGCTTCCTTCCGTAGTGGGTCCAGGACTTCTGGGCGCCACCACGCTTTGTGCTTGCCGTAGGTGGTCTTTTTCGGGGAGTTGTTGTTCAGGCCGTTGACAATGGCCGTTCGTAATGATTCATCAAATTCTTCAATGTCGTCTCGTGTGGTTAGTGGGATTAGTTTTGGAAGGGAGGTTGTTAGCTCTTGCTTTAGAAAGGCGCTCTCAACCTTATTCCAATTCTTTTTCTCTTTTGATTGTGATTGGGACAAGTTTTCATCGCCATTTTTTGTGGAAAAAATGGTGATGATCGCTTGATGGTCGGATTGGTGACTGATGATATCGTCTTCGTCAATGTAGCATGTGATCGTGGCGTCGTCCAGGTCTTCATTTACCCAAACCTGGTCTATGGAGGTGCCTTCCGTGTTTTCCAATCTTACACCAAAAGTGGGTATTCCTTTTGGGGATCGTAAGCTGAGGCCCCAGCTGGTGAGCATTTCGATCAGTTTCTCGGAGTTTTTGTCGTTGGTTTTGCTATGGCTTGGATTCCATAAAGGAGAGTGGAGGTTTGCGTCAGTGGTGCATATTGTTGGTAGGAGTTGGGTGGTAAGGGGGGCCTTCTGGAGCACTTCCGTGAATGCCTCGAATCCATCAAGCGTGTTTTGGGGGTTATAAACACTGGCTATCAGTATTGTGTAGCCGCGGATAGTTATAGTACCCACCGCTAGATTTCTAGACGGTGAAAAGATGGGGTTGATTATGGGGTTTAGCGCTTGTTTGATATATAAGCAAGCCCTCGGCCTGTCCTCCTCCTTGGGGGAGCGCGGGGTAGGGCAGATGAGGGTCCAATTCGTGAGGTTGAGTGGGAGGTTGTCAATGGGGTTTACATAAGGTTCTTGTAGGGAAATGATAGAAAAAAGTGAAGTGATGTTTGAATTAAAAAGGGAGTGTGTGACATATTTGGAATGCTTGCAGTTCAGTTGTAGAACGCCGGCTGAGTGGTCAATATTGAGCTTATCTTTTAGATGGTTCTCTAACATTGAGTGTGAGAAGGATTAGCTTGGGCAACCACGTTAATATATGGCGAAGAGCTGGGGTTGTGCGGTGGGAGTTGACTTGCAATTCTCACTGGGCACGTTGGGGCAAATGGGTGGTGAAGGAAATCAGCATGATTGTCCTTGAACAGCCGTGGTAAGTTGGAGCTGGGGTCTGCTTTCAATTTACCGCGTGCGCAGGCAATGCATTTCATGGCTGAAGAACCTTTCACTGGACAGTTGTGAGAGTGATGTTCTCCAGAGCAATATGGGCACATTGGAGCTAATTTACAAGCCGCTGCTGTGTGGCCCACTCCTTGGCAATTAAAGCACCAGGTGGGGGGTGGTCCGCTGAGTTCTGTTCGGTGCCGTCCTCTCCCTT